ATTTTGTTGTTCCTTAAAGGACAGCTGCCTTCCTTAGTAAGCCTATCCCAGTTCAAGTTCCAATGTACTTGAATACCATGGACTAGTACTCTTGCTAAAAAGGTGACAATTACAATTGAACTATCATTTGTTTTATCTGATTAGGATTATTAAAAATAAGTAAGGAGCTTCATTTCTACAACTGTCACAGAAAATGAGAGGGGAAAGAATGTGCCTGTTTTCCTTTCCAAAGTTGTAACATGGCTTCCCAGAGGTGATCCAGGGACACGGGAGCTAAAAATTTATATGAGGACCAAACACTGTCTGCAAAATGAAAAACAGTATGCCTCTACATATAAGCTAATTGTTAAAATGTACATTTTTTATCATTAACAAAATATAAGTTTAATTTAAAAGAATTGTTAGATTCCTGGCTCCTTTTTATTCTAGCTTACTGAGTATAAAAAGCAAGTTACAGTATGACTTCAACCTTGGTTAAAAAGAAATAAAGCAAAAGAAAATATATCTACATGAGAATACACAAAAGAAAAGGTCTACAGTAGGAATAGAGGTAGAAACTTTTACCTTTTACTCCACGTCTCTACTATTCAAATTTTAACAAAAAGTATATTTTACTTTGTGAATAGTAATAATAATGGTAGTAACAATAAATAAAACCACTAAAAACTGATTTTTAAACATGATGTCCTTAATAATTAATGTTCTGATTCTAAGACTTACAAACCAGATTTTATCTTGTACTTAGGAATTACAATTTTTAATTCCCAATATAAATTCATTTTTGCTTTTGTTCATTCAATGAAATATTTATTACTGGTGTCCTGAGTTAGTTCTATGCTGGGTGCTAGATTCAGAGATCCATAACTTGGACAGAGTTCAAGTTCCAAATTAGAATAAAAATTAGGCCATTCACTCACAAAAGCCATTGAATGGCTGAGATGGAAAAAAGTTGGAGATTGTAGTAGTTTTGAAAAATGCCACCAATTCTCTACCCCTCCCTGAAACTACACCCTTTGCCTTGTAACTGTAGCTCTCTTCCATAGTGAATAGGTTGAGTAATCTGTCTCTTGATTCTGAGCTTACCAGTAGGACTTGGTTTGGCCAATGGGATTACAACACATGTGACCCAGGCAGAGGCTAGAAATGGGCCTATATGTTTGAGATTGTTCTTGCCTCTGCCATTACCTTAGGAATGTGTCCACAATAGCCTGCTGAGCTTCAGTGCAACCAAGTTACCCTGTTCTCATCTAAGCCAAGCCTATCCCAGATCATTTGACAGCTTATTGACTCCTAACATGTGTTCAAGCCCAGCCAAGATCAGCAGAACTTCCCACCCAACCTGTAGCTGATTACAGATGCACAGGCAAACCTAACCAAGCCCAGCCCAGATCTGGTGCACCTTGCAGACTTATCACTAAATAAACGTTTATTGTCGTAAACCATGGAGCTTTGTGGGGTTTTGCTAAACAGCTTTACTGTAGCAATAGATAACTGAACACTTATATCAACTGGCCCAACCCAACCAATTATTGATGAAACTAAGGAACTATAGTGTACACTGTGTTGTACTATCCAGATCCTAGCTTCAGAACTAAGGTTGCTATGAATATTAGCAGCTAGAGAGCTGAGAGTTGCTGTCCTTAGAGGACAGCTGCCTTCCCTAAGTCACACCCCCACCAGGGGACAACTCACATTTAATAGTTGGTGCAGTGAGGGAGGGGGTAGATGTAAAAGCTGTCCCCTTTGTCTAAAAGTGGACGACTCTAGAGAACTAAATGTTTTGCAGCTCAAATTCTTCCTTGAACCAATCATGCATCCCTCACCCCTGGACTGCATTGTTTCTGAACATACACCCCATTAACCTACTGCATGCAAAACCCAGCATGAGTCTGCTTCTCAGAGAACTCAGTCTGCCACAGACCCTGAGAAGAGAAATGACTTGCTCAAGTTCACATTGCTAGTTAATAATGAGTGGTAAAGGGCTGGACTCAGGTAATTCCATCCAGTACTCTCTCTACTACACCAGAATGCCTCATACTCAATGGTACAGAGGACCCTGGACCAAGACTTAACTTAAACTTTGTTCTATTAGTATATGGAAAAAAACCAAATTTCATAGTCTAGGTTATTCTTTCAGACAAAATGTTTTCTGAAATATTTCAACCAAACCTTGGAAATGAAACATTTTGCATTCACAAACTATAGAAATATCTACATATTTATGCTGAGTAGGAGAATCTGCCAAAAGAAAAAGTTCACAATTGACATTGGATCCAACTAGGGTGGGGGCAACGCTACAGCAGGACAGTATCCACTCCAGGCCAAAGTCTGAGGAACATGCATGTGAGGCCAGCTCCTGCTCCTGCCACAGATCTCTGCTGCACCCTGCCTTCTGCCTACATCAGGGCTAAGTAAACAGGAGGGTCTCCTCAGTCTGGAAAAGCAACATAGAGTTGGCAGTTTTTTGTTAAATACATCCAAGTTCCATCTAACCTCTCTAGTTCTTGTCAAGGGCTGCAGGGTTTGGAAACAAAAATTCTAAACTGTGCACACAGTCCTGATTCAGCTCAAGTGCTTTCCAAATCTAAACCCATTGTGAAATTTGTACCTAAGATTTTTGAGGAGATGGAAAGCCAAGGAGGGTCAACTCTGTTGCTTGCTATTAAGAACTGGCTTTAGAAGTAGGATATTTGCCTAGGTCCTTATCATTTAAAGACCCCAACCTCAAACATCAGTGGTCAAATTCAGATGGTAGTAAATCTCTTCATGTATTTGTTTCTCCATGACTGACTATAGACAGCAATGACTGCAGAAAACTCAGCTTCGATTATTACATATTCAACATCAACTGTGTGCCAGACATCGTGTTTAAGGCTTCCATTTGCAACTGCTTCTACTCTGTGATATCCATAGATTCTCCTCCTCTGACCTCCTTTTCCCTAAGTTCTGGCCATTCCATCAATGTCTGGACTACTTCAGACTCTCCCATTGCTTCAGAAGTTTCCAGTTTCCTCTAGCAGTTTTTGACACACTATCTACCTTCATCACAATCACCTGGATCACTTGTCACAATTGCATACCTTGAATCCAGACCAACTGAATCAGAATCATAGGTATGGAGGCCCAGGAATCTGAATTGTAACAAGTTTGGGGACACTTTAAGGACAGAGAGCTACCGTCCACAGGATAAAATCCAAATCTTTGTCATAGCATGCAAGGCCATTTTTGACATGGATCCAGCCTACCTTAATTAACTTATTTATTAACTCTTTGTCCATATATTATGCTCAAGCTCTTTATTTTTAGTTTTTAAAAATAAGCCTTTTTTCCCTGGAATGCTACCCAGGCCCTTGTCCACATGAGTACTCTTAATTACCTGTGCAACCTGTCTTTACTTCACTTTTGCACTTATAACGTTTTGCATTCTTTTGAAATAATGCTTATCACCTTGTAACTGCAACCAATTGGATGCCTATCTTCCCCCTAACTATGAATAACTCAACAGCAAAGACTGAATCTTGGTCTTTTATATCCTTCCAGCCTGTATACTTTCTGGCACACAATAGGCATTCTAGAAAGATTTGGTAATCATTAAAACTCTCCCTTAGGAAGGGTATCATATCATATGAAAAAGGAGGGTAGTGAGGGACAGAGAAAATAAGGCGAATGATTCTGGGACTGTGTAGAAAACCCACTGTCAAACCCTCACACTGTCCTTTGAGATTGTGAGCCCCACAAATAGCCAGAGTGTCTTTGAGAAAACATCCATGTACATTTTTTTAAATTTGAGTTTGTATGAAACATATTTGTAAATATATTTAAAACATAACTATTCTTTTCAAGAAGTCAGTTCAGGCCAATAATCTCTTGGTTGTGCTTAAGATATATCTGGAGGCAGACTACAGCAAAAGTTCAATTGCTTTTATTTTAAGAATATTTTCAGGACTGCTGAGAAGTCTATGGCAGATTATTTTGATTAGGATTCCCTTGGCCTCTAGCTTGGG